AAATTGGAATTCAATGACTTGCAAGTGACCTGCCCAGGATACCATAAATCCTGAGATGTACACGATGCGTGTCATGTCAACATCTTCAAGGTATTCAGGAAGTTTTAGCTTCCCAAATGTTGCCAACTTGTTTCGAGCTGAAAACTCACAGGCACATACACTGCTACTTACCTGCGGGCCCGACACATCCTAAATGTACGTCCGGAAAGTTCCCCTCAAGTGCGGAATACCAGTATGGAACCCCATCAGGCCCCCTTCAGACTTGGTCTATGTAGGCCCCTATTGGGGTTCCAGGCGTTTGGGGGCAGGTAGCTTCAGGTAAGCTATAGTCTTAACTCAGAGTATCCCCCCTAATAAGCCCTACAGTACCCCCCATATAATCCCTATATTACTCCCTTGAAGGAGCTTAGACTATAGCTCAGGTAGGGTTTTAAGTCATCCCGCTGTTCCAGCCTCGTAGACCTGCTCAAGTGGTCGCTGAGCCTGATGGCATCACTCCCGTCGGGGGGTATTTCCAAGTATGGGGAGGATCTGCAATATGTAACTAGCAGTAAGATTCCCATATACCCCGTATTCTATCAACTTAATGGGGACTATAACTCTTCCCTTGATTTCTCGAACCCCCCACCACAGAACCAGCCGCAGAGGATGTCTCCTGTTCTCTACGAGAACCGGAATCCGGGACCCTATACCAGCAAACTCTGAAAGCTCAGCATCCCAAGGTCCCCGCTTTAACCAGTGACTTCGCCCACCCCTTGCCCAAAACCAAAATGTCTGACCCTCTCATGCCGATAACAACCTTTCGTGGCTATCCCAATCACTCTTATTTCCTAGTGCTTAGTGGAGAATAAGGAAATATCATCCCTGTATAACCCCTATATAATGTATTCCCTTATTCCTGACTAAACCCCAGTAAGCTTCGGGAGAGATGCCTCCAACCCCCCAAATTTTACTCATGTTGGTCCCTCCGTCTGTTGCCTAAGACACCTAATGCACTCACAATATACCACAACAACAATCATTACATACATCTTCCCATCAGATAAGGACCACCAATCTCTAAATCCCCCAAAACCCTAAAGGCATGCACCTTACTACCATCCTTTTAAAAAAGGAACCTATGAACCTATAACATGTTCCATTTCTCTAAGTAAACCTTCCACCTCCACCCATGGAAGCGCAGGCAACTCATCCAGCAGTTTGTGCAGGCTCGGAAGCCGTACACAACCAGCCACCTGGGCTTTTGTCATTGACTCCCAACTCTTCTAAGTCCTAAGCCCCTAAACCCCAAACCCCTGAACCCTAACCCCCTAAACCCTAAGTCCCTTAAACCCTAAATCCTAAACCCTCGACCCTAAGCCCCTAAACCCCAAGGCCAAAGCCCCAAACCCATCCGGAGGTTTGGGAGTGAAAAATAGTCCCCCTTAAGTAGAGAGAATATCAGGATTATATTGGGATAATGGAAA